CAAACTTACACTCTCTTGCCTAAAGCTCTGAGTGCTGAGATTGCAGGTATGCACTCTGGGCTTGGCTGTGGACCTTTCACATGTTGCTAGAGCAGGTCTGTTGCTGTAGGCAGGTCCAGGCACGTTGCTTGGGGACGGGTGGCAGGGGATCCATTGCTGTGGAGGGCAGCATTGCGGTGAACAGGTCTCTTGCAGGTTACTGTGTCCTTTTGTCTCTAGAGCTGGAGCGGAAGGCCACCCTAGAGGGCCCGAGCGCCCCCTCTTGGAGGAAACCCTTGGTGCTGTGTGATGCGATGGCTTCCGAGCTCTTCCCTCCACTGACAGTTTGTTGTTTACTTGAACAAGGAACAGAAAGTTTGTTCCTTCCCATAATTCAGTACATTTTTTATGCTGCGGCTAAACCCCATTTTTGTTGTCCTAGAGGAGAAAGTTTCAAAAACTCAAGTTAAAAGGAAAGCTAGATACTCTGAACATCACAGGCATTGTTTTACTTATTTTTTACTTTTCAGTGCTGGGATTCACCCCCAGGGCCACATGCCACTGAGCAAGCACACCACTACCGAGCTATAGCCCAGTCCTCTTTTTACATGTAAGACAACCTTTTGTTTAAAGAAAATAGCTGTTACTCTGAAAAAGAAACAGCAGAGCAGCCTTTCGCCTGGTCTTTGACTTTACCCACACAGGGAGCGTCCTCCAGACGGGCAGCGCACGGCAGGCTCCGTTGGCATCTCAGTGCTGCAGTTGGGAGGCAGAGCTGTGGGCGAGTCTGTGGCTGTCAGGAGCAGGGCTGAGGCGTCCCTGTGCTTCTCTAGATTTCACGCTGTACCCTCTTAGAGTCTGGAGAGCCTGCTTTGCTGCTTGGCACGGTTTTAGAGTCCGTCAAGAACAGACCCTCCAGCAGCTGGGCCTGCCTTGTGTATAGTCAGCCGTGCCGTAGCTATTGTGAGAGTTCAGGCCCTTGAGCTTTTTGTACTGATCTTGTTCTTTGAGTGAGTCTGTGGCTGTCAGGAGCAGGGCTGAGGCGTCCCTGTGCTTCTCTAGACTTCACGCTGTGCCCTCTTAGAGTCTGGAGAGCCTGCTTTGCTGCTTGGCACGGTTTTAGAGTCCGTCAAGAACAGACCCTCCAGCAGCTGGGCCTGCCTTGTGTATAGTCAGCCGTGCCGTAGCTACTGTGAGAGTTCAGGCCCTTGAGCTTTTTGTACTGATCTTGTTCTTTGAGGGGTTGCCTTGCAGGGTGAGCTGTGAATGAATTCACTAGAAGACAAACGTGGAACGTGTCTCAGATACACCAGGCCGTGGGGAGAGGCCGCACAGAGGCATGAAGGCTGTCACAGGGCTGCATGTTGTAGCGTGGTGGGGCCCTGCTTGTTCAGGTCTGATCAGCCGGGACACCTTGTGGGGCTCACATCTGGATGTCTAGGCGGACATCTCATTTTGCTAAGGAGTGTTACAGTGTGGGTTCTGTTCTGTGGAAGGCAGCACAGGGATGGTTTAGCGTAGTTCTGATGGTCTGAGCTGACCGTTAAAGAAGACGCTTCTCTCCAGTCTGTCAGGATGCTCCAGACAGGGTGCTCCAGACAGGGCAGCGGGTCTTGCTAAGGTTAACGCTTTCGGCCCTGCTTAGAGGCAACAGTGTCCTCTGAGCCCAGGCACCCTTAGGCTAGGCTCAGCATAGCCATCTGCCTCCGCACAGTGTCTACAAGTTATGTTCAAATCAGAGCTTCTCCTTTCCCCGTAGCCCAGGCTGGCCTCAAACTCAGGGTCCTCCTGCCTCAGTCCCCTAGTGCTGGGGTTACACTGGCTTGTTCTGAGGCCCTCCCGAGGAGGGGTTGCCTGAGGGAGGAAATGGATGTGAAGCCCAATGCAGCTTGCCCCAGCTCCGTGGAAAGCGGCTTCTCCAGCTCCTCCTGAGCCGGTGGTCACCTGGCCTCTCTCTGTTTCAGACCGCAACATGAACATCCTGCAGTACTGCCCCTCCTCCGACCTCTGGACGCTCTTCGAGACCTGTGACGTCCACATTCGCAAGCAGCAGATGGTGTCGGTGGAGGAGACCATCTACATCGTGGGCGGGTGTCTCCACGAGCTGGGCCCCACCCGCAGGGGCAGCCAGAGTGAGGACATGCTCACCGTGCAGTCCTACAACACCGTCACCCGGCAGTGGCTCTACCTCAAAGAGAACACATCCAAATCGGGCCTGAACTTGACTTGTGCGCTGCACAATGATGGCATCTACATCATGAGCAGAGATGTCACCCTGTCCACCAGCCTGGAGCACAGAGTCTTCCTCAAGTACAACATCTTCAGCGACAGCTGGGAAGCCTTCCGGCGCTTTCCAGCCTTTGGGCATAACTTGCTGGTTTCCTCTCTCTATCTGCCTGACAAAACAGAGACGTGACTGACGGGACGGTGTTTAAAAGAGATATGGTTCAAGACCAAAAAGTGGCAGCTCTTTGGAAGACTGATTTCTACCGGGAAAAAGGGGGTTGATGTAGGTCATGCATAGAGGAGGCGCCGCTGTAAATAAGCTTTCTTCAACTAATTACTTGAAAACTTGTGAAAAAAGAGAGACCAACGTTACTCCTTTTTAAATCATTGCCTTTTAAGTTGTGGGAACCAATTCATGATCAGTTTCATCCAAACCTGATACTCTCGGGCCAATGACTACAGAGACAGGTTGAATCTGCTTTGGTAAGGGACCGAGGTCAGCAGCTGAAGATGGTGAGGGTGAAGGTGGTTTGGTTTGGTTTGGTTTGGTCCACCTGGTGGTGCTGGAGGTGGAACCCGGGGCCTCACACATGCCAGTCCAGGAAAGATTACTTTAGAATCTGTTTCGCATAGGTTGCTGAGGTACCTTTAGGGTAGTGAGTGTGGGCCTTTCTATGTTGTTTGTAGTTGAACAAGCGTGAGTATGAAGCTGTCAGCCCTGTGCCCTCGGTACCCACGGATACTTCAGTTTGTCATGTCAAGTTTCTCTGTTCAGTTGTTTTACTGAGTACTACTACTTTTCAGAAACACTAGCAGGTGTGTCCAGCCCTTTGACACTGAGAAATTACATTATCGGCTATAAAATTCATGCTTGAGAATTGCACAGTTGAGTGACATAAAAAAAAAAAAAACCCAGTGTTTTAAGTTCACAGTTTTGTGTTGGGCCATGGTCCTGACCATCCTTGAGGCCCGCAGGCTGCAGGTGGGACATCTGTGTGCCAGCTCCTCCTTGCACTCAGAACTTTTCTCAGTTTTTGTTGCAGTTAAGGATACTGAATCAGTAGGCTGGTACCACCTCATATGTGGCCAGTGCAGGGCTGCGTGAGCTGCGTTGTGAAGCTTTCTGTATTGTTTAGAGTAGATACAAACATATTTTATAAATTGAGTCTTAAGTTTGAGGAGAGAAGGAAATACCAAATGGGAAAAGATTGCCTTTAAGAGTTACTTTTATTGAGTGTCTTTGACAGTTCTTGTTACAAGATTTTTTAAAAAGCCCAGCTTTACGGCATTTGAGAGAGGACGCCTTCTAACTTAACATTAATCTCAGCTGTGTGATTCCGGTTGGGCCTTTGTGGTCCAAGGGGAGGCAGAGAAGTTCTTTACCAACGTGGATTGGCCTCTGTGGAGTTTCTGAACTGAGGTCAGTTGCTGGCCTGCCCTCAATGGGATCTCAGATGGCTCTCACCCCAACAGCAGCAAACAGCTGGAGAGGTCTCACCAAGTTAATGTGCAAAAGGACCTGCCAATCATAGGCCTGTGCCCCTTAAACGTACTCAAGGCCCTCAGCTGTGGTTTAATCTCCACTTTCAACAGCAGTGGCAACAAAGCCCGTGCTTGCAGGAATTTACTTTTGATTGAAGAGCATGTGCTGTGCTCGCCTGCTGTCTTCTAGTGGAATCAGTTGAGTGAGCTACACTCTACCAGCCCCAGCAGTGGGCAGAGAAACCCTTTCAGTTACAGCCACCTCACTTTAAAAAAGCCCCACAAGAACAGAAACTGTCCAGGTCGATTCACTGCACAGTGGCTCTTGAAGTGGCTGGTCATGGGGTAGGGGTAGGGGTGCCCCTCAATGGTTTTGTGAAGGGGTCACTGCAGGATTTCTTTACAGCCATGCCTCTAGTATGCTTAACCAAGAGCCTAGTTATAAAAGTCTTTGCACAGCTCTTCAGGAGTTCTGTCAGCCTTCATTTTGGACCTGGTGACAGAGCTTAGTATCTTGTTACCAAATGTATCAGTAGTTATTCGATCAGTAATTGACTTAGAGATACTGTTGAAAGCGTCCAGGCCATTTCTAAGCCATTTCTATTTTCATACACTAAACCTGGTGTTTTTCTTCGTTTTTGGAGACAGGGTTTTGCCTTGTAGTCCAGGCTAGCCTCCAACTTGGGATTCTCCCATCTCAGCCTCCTAAGTGCTGGGATTATAAACCTGTTGCCACCATTCCTGACTTCCTTTATTTTGTTATTTTTTTTAACTGTTTTGTATGTCATTCTTTTGAAAAAAGAAAAAAGAAATCTGAACTGAAATTTTTACTAAAATGGTACTTATACAATAGATTTCTTTTCCGTTAGAGTCATGATAGAATTGAATTTCTTGGAACCTATACTTTTATTATATGTGTACTTTAAAATCTAATTTTTGTTGCTCTGGAGTTTTAATGTATAAAGGCTTAGTCCTATATATTCAGAGGAGGCTAGCCAGTTGAATTAGCATTGGACAAAGGATGGGTAATTATCTTATATAACCACATATAAAAAGTACAGTATTGTGGTCCGGTGTGGCGATACACGCCTTTAATCCCAGCACTCGGGAGGCAGAGGTAGGTGGATCTCTGTGAGTTGGAGACCATCTGGTCTACATAGTCAGTTGTAGGCCACCTGTCTCAAAAAGACAAAATTTTAAAGTACAGTATTGTTCCAGCCGGTCTCCCAATTCTCTTCTTGATCATATTCTTTGGATATATTTCCTGATGCCAGCAACTTGATTCTTGGACCAAATGTGGACTGCCATCCTCGGAGCACAGGCTTGGCACATGTGCCCAGGCACATTACTGGGTGCAGGTGTGGATGCTGCTTGCTACACTTCTAAGATGCAGACTCTTTGCTGCCATGTACTTGGGAAGGACAGACATGCCATAGGACTGGGTTCTGTGACGTCTCTCCTGGCGCCATCACCTGTGAACAGCCTGAGGCTTCTCGTAGTTTACGTGTTCCCTGTGGGTATTCCACCCAGGGTGAAGACCATGTGTCTCCGGAAGCCTCTCCTACTTCAGACCGCCCCTTCCTATCTGACAGCATCTCTGTACTTCCTTTCCCCTTTGTCTTTCTTCCTTGAAATGCTTCTGAGGGGTACTGACCCCCCACTATGGGTGGGAAATGACCAGGGGGACCCCCAGTCAGAGCTGCCTTCCAGAACCCCCCATTTGAACAGGATGGTGTGATGGTAGAGTGGAGTGGGGTTGGTGGAAGGTAGCTGCTCCCTGTCACAGTGGCCTTTGGGCATGCCTGGTTTTGGAGGCCTGTCCCTGGAAAGGTTCCATGATGACTGTGTGAGGGTTTGATGACTTCTTCAGCCTGGCCTAAGTCACAGAGAAGAACCCAGAAGGCCGGGAAGGCTGGTAAGAGAGACAGAAGGCTCAAGGTTAAGCATGAAGCCAAAGAGAATTTAACCCGCTGGATGTCTGTGTTTTTTTGTTTTTAAAGTCAAGAACTGTAGTCATTCCAGATGCCTTTGTTTCCAGGCTGGTTGAGGGAGTGCTGGGGCGGCTCTCTTCAGACTTCCAGGCAAAGTTGTAACCCTGGTCTGCCACAGTGGCAAACGGAGAGGGTGGGCCCTGATGTCTTTGTCAACCAGTGTTGAGTGAGCAGAAGCTTAGTGCAGCTGACCAGAGAGGGTCTGCACAGCGGAGGGCAGATAGGGAGTGTGGCTTGCTACCCCAGGAGTGGGGAATACATGACGTCAGTGCTTTCCCAAAGTGTTAGGGAGACATGTGCACTCCCTGTGTGTGTGGGGTGTGTGATCCCAACGGCCATGTCAGTGCTTCCCGGCACCCCTGCCCGCCCACACTGCCTGAAACAGGCACGAAGGGATGGGAGAGCCAGTGACTCGTGGGGCTTTGGAAGCAGCTGCCTCAGTTAAACTCCCAGTGACCCGGAGCACCTGAGTGCCCATCTGTGCTAAGAACTGTGGACCCCCTTTCCAAATGGCCATAGTCCCTGATCTTACAGGACGTACAGCCTTCTGACAGTGGTCTCTCTTTTCAACTAGGGTGTTGTCAAGGATGTCCACTTTTGTCAGGCCTGTGGGGCTCTGGTCTGGTGGCCTCTTCCATCTTGGGCCAGTCTGCCCAATGCTTTGTGATTTAATAATAATCCCCGAGAGCCAATTTTTCCTTAACCCTGAACATGACATCTTGTGTTTCGGTTTTACTGTGTGCTGTTATAAACATTACTTTTATAGTCCTTGCCCTTTACCTTTTGTGAAAACACGAGAATGACGTGGAATCTCTTACTTGGAAATATTCACTCCACACGGCCGCCTTTGCAGTGGTGAGCTGGGCGGATCTAGTGGCAGGAGGGAGGCGGGCGGCAGGGGTTTGTTGTGAGCAAGCTCACCGCTGGTGAACTTAGATCCACACCTTTTCTCCCACAGAAAGGACTGAGAGAAATGCTTGCTCTGACACTAGTTCACTGATGTCAGTTGAGTTCGCCTTGCTGATAATTATCAGATGGTTTTCCATGTACACTGATTTTCACTTTATTGTGTTGACTTGGGAACACGACGTACAGCACAGTGACTGACAGCTGCCAGTCTTCACACTTGACACAGCCACGTCTACCCATTCCTCCGGGAAGCCTGTGAGATGTACAGAGGGTCCATTCCCAAGAGCCCCGGGTGCTGAGCTTGCTTCCCTGGGACTGGCTGGCGCCTTCCCACATTGGGTGTCACTGGCACAGCAAAGGAAATGTGATTTACATTATGTCATGTAAGTAGAAAACATTCCTGGCACAGTCCTTTTCCTCCAGTTTGTTTATCTAGTTGTCATTTTATGGAAAATGATTCTCCGCAAGATGAACAGTTGTGTTTGGTTATTAGCGGTACTTTGGAAGGTTGGATTGAGTTCACAGTTACGAGTTCAGCATTGTCACCTGGTTTATTTGCACACAAGCCTGTGAGGTGCTCACCAGAGCTGCGTTCCTTTGTGTTTATTAGTGCAACTATGGAAGGAAATGTCTTCAAATAAAATAGTCCATCAGTTTCTGTTGTGTGGTAAATTCTGTCATCAGCTCTGCACCAGGACTGTGTCAGAGCTGGGAGAAGAGGGCGGTGCCAGGGAGGATCCCCAGGGAGGATCCCCGGAACCTGAGAGATCAGTTTGGGAGGGAGGGATCTGGGAGGTTGTGCTGGGAAGATGGGGTCAAAGCCTAGGCATTCTTGGAGTAGACCCAGCCGCTGTGTGTGACTCAGGGGCTTGGGGTTGGAAATCCCAGTCCTCTCTTGGCTTCTGATCCCTCCTATTCTCTTTGAGTCCTTCGAATCCAAGAGAGTGAGCTTGGCCAGAGCAGTGTCTCGACCGCCTGTTTTCTTCCCCCTCAGTCCAGGAAAGTGGAAACAATTCCTGGCCTTTGTGTTGAGTTATGACTCAGACCATGAGGCTGGGGCTGGATGTAGAGGCCAGTGCTGCTCCCTGGTTCCATTTCTGTCCAGCCTTGGTTGCTCAGTATGTGGGAACACATGCGAACACATACGTGCATACATGCATACACCTGGCCTTCATATACATACTTTTTAAAGTTATATTACTTAAAATTATATTATCCCCGAAAGATACAGCAACGCTTCTTCCCAAGGGAAACAGCCCAAGGTAGTTAGGGTATCAAAAGGCTGTGCTGGCTCACAGACTCCCAAGCCCAAGGACGTTAGGGATTGTAGGCCTGCCTCAGTTTATGGGTGGGTGCTAGGCTCTGGAAATCTAATAATAAATGAGTAATTAATGTCATGCACACCCAGAACATGACGGAGAAATGTGGCTGACAGAAAGTACCTAACACAGTACCTACTTCTGCACCCAGAACTCTTAACCATCATAACCTCTTCGTCCCACCAGTCCCACGTGGGAGGCTTACAAAACTCACAAAAGTACAAGATTTCGGGGCTCCTGCCTGAGGTTACAAAGGCAGTAAACAATTTCTGGGGAGAGGGGACTCTTTGGAGGAGCTGCCTGAAAGTTGTGTAGGGAGCAGCTTTTGTGAGTGGTCACCTATGCTCCTGGAAGTAGTTCCAATACGCTCGTTGGTTCTCTGAGCTTGGGTGGAATTGTTTCTTCAGTCCCGTCTTTGTGGTCCTATGTAGGGTGAATAGACATGCATGTCTATCAGGAATAGTCATACAACAGGTAAATATAAATATTAATGCTATTTGTGTTTCCCAGTTGTGGAGACCGAGGGATTGCAGGTTACACAGATTAGAATCTGCCCCTCAGGAAAAGAGACGGAAGCCACACGCTGCTCAGAGAATACATGTCTTCGGTCTTGGTGGAGGGTGGGTCTGGCTCAGCCAGTCCAGGAGCCTATGGCTCTGCTTTGCAGCAAGATGGCCCATGGCTGGAAGTGAGTAGCTGTTCTGTTCCTGTGGATGCGGCTAGTAGGAGCCATGGGGGAAGCCTGGACACCTCTGCTGAAGCTGAGGGATCCCAGCCGATCACCAACACCACTTTGGCAGTGAAATCTCTTAAAAACCCAGTGGGATGCTGTGAGGTCTGACTTCTGGCCACCCTGAGCTGAGTGCAGAGTTAGCAGAGCCCGGCTTCTTGAACTTGGAGCCACCTCTGTGAGTGCTCTTTGCACAGGCACCCTGCTTCTACCCCACCCGCCCCTGACTTGGCACCGTGGTACCTGTCTCTCCATCAGCTCTAGGGAAGCTTGAAACAGTTGGGTCCTTGACCGACTGTATCCTCCAGAAGCAATCACTGTGTGGCTTAAGAGGCTCAGGGGCAGAAAGTCCTTTCTTTGCCTTCTCAGAAGGCCCAAGCTGACTGTATTTCCCAGACTGCTCCTGGGCCTTTAGGTGACGCCAAGAGCTTCAGGTGAGCCAAGGTCCCATAGTTCTGAAGGCCGTAGCATCTAGTGCTCAGCCGCTGCTGGCTACAGGTGGGGTTGAGGGTGTGACTGCCCCAGCAAGCCTGACCTGGGGCAGTTCTCATTCCTCAGCCCACCCGTGCAATCGCGGCTGGGGCTGTCTGCACTCCCTGGGCCTCAGTTTCTTTATTTGTGAAGAGTATCTGTTTATTTATGGGACTAAGGACTGTGCTGAACTCCATGTGGAGTGCTTAGAATGGCTTCTGGCAAGTCATGGAACACAACAAACAAGCTGTTATTAGTAAATTACGTGTGGCTGCTCCGCTGTGCCTTCAAATGGGCCAGGCCGGCCGGAAGCATGTGTCTTAAAACATGATAATGGAGCCATTAGGAGGTCACTAGTAAGAGACTGGAGAGACGGCTCAGCAGTTCAAAGCAAGTACTGCTCTCATAGAGGACCTGAGTGCAGTCCCCAGCATTCATGTCGCGTAGCTCAAAGCAGCCTGTATTCCAGTTTGGAGCTCTGATCCCCTCTTCTGGCCTCCAAGGGCTTATATATTACATGTACACAAACCTCCCCTGCCCCACTTAAACAGAAAATAAATCTTTTTAAAAAAGATGTGACTGGGGGAGCACTGACTGCTCTTGCAGAGGACCCAGGTTCGATTCCCAGCACCCATGGGTTCAATTCCCAGCACCCACATGGTGGCTATGAACTGTCCTTAACTCCAGTTCCAGGGGAATCCGAAGCCCTCTTCTGACCTCTGCAGCATTGCACGACACAGATGCACTCACATACATGCAGGTAACACACTCATACTCATAAAATAAAAATAATAAAATATTAAATTAAAAAAAAAAGAGGTTACTTTGTAAGCCAGGCTTGGTTGCACAGGCCTGTCATTCCAGCTACTCAGATGGCTGAGGCAGGAAGATCACAGGTTCAAGGCCTGTCTGGGCAATTTAGTAAAACCCTGCATCAAAATGTAAAAAGGAAAAAGAGGTGCTGGGGACACAGTCCTAATGTAGAGTGCTTACCTAGTACATGTGCAAGTCCTCGGTTCAGTCCTCAATACTGTGAGGGAAGGGTAGGAGAGACGGAGAGGTAGCTCACAAGTTGTAAGACCTGGCATGTTTTCCTTCCTTCCTTCCTTCCTTCCTTCCTTCCTCCCTCCCTCCCTCCCTCCCTCCCTTCCTTCCTTCCTTCCTTCCTTCCTTCGGTTTGGTTTTGAATTTTAAAAAAAATTTAATTTATCTTATGTGTATGAGTGTATTGCCTGCATGTACATAAATGCACCCGTGTCATATAGTGCCCATGGAGGTCAGAAGAGGGCTTCAGATCCCCTGGAGCTGGAGTTACGTGTAGATGTGAGCCATCTGATGTGGATACCAGTCCTCTCTCCAGTCCCTTGGCTTTGTATTTTTGATGTAGTCGCTCACTGGTTGAACTCGTGATCCTGCCCTTGGCTTCCTGAGTGCAGAGATCACAAGTGTGTCCCACACCCAGCTCAAGGTCCTGGCATGTTCCGACCATGTCTCACTAACAGCGGGCTTGAGTGGAGGGACTCCAAAGATAACTACTGTAATGGTAGGACAGGGATATTCCCTCCCTCACCGTGACTGAGTTCATCCCATATGCTGGCTTTGGGCATTTGCAACAACCCAAATTCCAAACCCTTTAGTAAGATTTTGATTGGACTAGCGTAGGTCCTGTGTCTATCTCCGAGGCCCCCACTGTGGCCACAGGGATGTAGGGGTATTAGAGCTCCACCACATGGAATGAACTCACCTTGGGCTGCAGGGGGCTGCCTGACCATAGCTGCTCACAGCTGGGTTGCAGTCTCCAGCTGAACACCCTGGGATCAGGCAGAGCTAACTTTGTATTGCTGAGGGGGAGGGGAGGACAAAGGAGGAAAACAGCAGTGCCTCAGAAGGGAAAGTCAGGTCTTTGGGCCTGGCACGGGTGATCTTGAAGCAGGTCTTGAGACTGGGCAGTGTGGGACAGAAGACTTTGTAGGGTGCTGTGCAGGGAATCTCAAAGCGAGTCTTTGTGAGTAAGTTGCTGGTTTGGGCAGGTAAGCGAGCGTGCTGGTTAGTTTTTGTCAGTGTGACACAAACCCAAGGCACCTGGGAAGAAGGAGCCTCAGTGGAGGAATGGTCCCGTCACATCTGTGAGGTATTTTCTTAATTGTTAATTGATGCGGGAGGGCCCAGCCCACTGTGGGTGGTGCCATCCCTGGGCAGGTGGGCCTGGGCCGTGTAAGCTGAACGAGCCCCGGGAAGCAAGCCCGTAAGAGGCCGTTCCTCCATGGTCTCTGCTTCAGTTCCTGCCTCGAGTTACTGTCGGACCTCGCTCAGAGATGGACTGTGCTTTGAACATGTAAGACAGAGTGAGGTAAACCCTTTCATCTCCAAGTTGATTTTGGTCATGGTGTTGATCATAGCCATGGAAAAGCAAACTAGGAGCTGCCTCAGCGTTCTGGAAGGTAAGTCTTACGACATTCTTGTTCCCGGTACAGGTAAGCCCAACCTCAGGGCACATGCATTTGTTTTACAGAGCATTCTCATAATATGATTGTCTTCCTGTTTAGATTGGTTTCCTGGATAATACAAAGTGTCATCTATCTTTTTATTCTTTAAGTCAGGGTATATATTAGATCCTGTACACAGTAGGTGATTTGTTTCTCTCCCTCCTTTTCTTTCTTTGCTTTGTTTTTTTTTTGTTTGAGACAAGGTCTCACTCTGTAGCCCAGGCTGGCCCCAAACTCATGGTATGCTTCCTGCCTTGGTCTCCTGAGCGCTGGGATTACAGGCATGAGCCACCATGCTCAGCTCAGATTTGTAATGTATTTACTGAATGTGTGTGTTTGCCACTGGTGTCTGAGCTCAGGGTCTAGGCCATGCTAAGTAAGCACCAGACCCCTGATTTGTTGAGTTTGGAAAGTTTGGAAGCTTCTTCAGTTTTCTAGAAAGAAATATAGGTGTTTGGTTTATGGAGCCTTAAAATTTCATTATAGGAAACAAAATAGTGTTTTCTCAATGAACATTGCTTATCAGGCGCAGTGTACTCTTCTACTGATGTATGCAACACATTAAGCAAGGGGCCAAATTTCAGCCTGCGGCGTGGCTGGAGGGACTGTTGTCCGCAGACAGTATTGCTACTGATCCTGGGAGCACAGTGGG